TCTACTATCTAGAATTTATAAGGAACTAAAAAAAAATCAGACACCCTAATATCAAGACCTAATTAAAAAATGGACATCTGAAATGATGTCAAACATTTATCAGCAAAGAAGTAGAAATAAAGCATGAATAGATGAAAAAATGTTAAACATCACTGGTCATTACTGATGAAAACAATACTGAGATTCCATGTCACTCCACAAAGAATGGCTGCTATCAAGAAACTAACCAATAACAAATAGTAGTGGGATTGTGGGAAGAAAGGAACCCTTATTCATTTTTGGTGGGAGTGCAGACTGGTGCAACCACTGTGGAAATCATTATGGAGATACCTCATACAAGTCCCATTTGACCCAGCTATTCCTCTGGTGGGTTTCTTCCCAAAAGAATTAAAAGGATCATACCACAGTGATATATGCTCACCCATGTTTATTGTGGCAAAATTTGTAATAGCTAAAACTTGGAACAAACCCAATTGCCCATCAACTGGAGAGTGGATAAAGAAATGTGTGTGTGTAGTACTACTCAGCCATAAAGAATGAGAAACTAGGGTCATTATAGCTAAGTGCATGCAAATCAAGGCCGAACTCTTAAGTAAAATTAATAACACACACATGTGTAAATACTGAAAAGTTTCTCTGAGTTAAAAACTAAAAATGTAAATAAGGATTAAGATATATAATTGATATTGCACAATAGGAAGTAAAGGTATAAAAGCGTAAGGGAAGTGGGAAGGGTAGGTGAAAGATAAGGGAAAAGAAAAAAATATGAGAAAAGAAAAAAACATGGAAACAAAGTCTGTAAACGGAAGGGTGGAGGGGCTGGTGGTAGGGTAGGGGTATTGGCAGAAAGCAAGAACCAGGATAAGACGTGTAAAGGTGCAAGAGCCCAATGATGAATGTAACTGTACAGTATACCTAAAATGTACCAATAAACTTAATGTGGAAAATAAAAAGAATTCAGCAGTGAAGCCTCAGATCCTGGACTCTTTAGTTGGTAAGTTTTTAATTATGTTTTCAGTTTTGTTGGTTGATATTGGGTTTATAATTTTTAGGTCTTCTTTATTCAACTCTGGTAATTCACACATATTTAGGAATCTATCCATTTTTTGTGTGTGTTTTCCGTTTCATTGGCATATAGCTTCTGGAGGTAGCAATGGATGATTCTATGAATTTCTGCTGGGTCTGTTGTAATTTCACCCTTTTAATTCCTAAGAGCATGGATTTGGGCGTTTCTTTCATTTTCTTGATGAGATTGGCTAAGGGCTTTTTCAGTTTTATTTTTTAGAAGAACTAACTTCACTTCTTTGATTTTTTTTGTGTCATTCTCTTAGTCTCCATTGCATTTATTTTTGCTCTGATTGTTATAATTTCCTCCCTTGTATGAGTTTTGAGTTTGTTTTGCACTTCTTTTTCTAGAAGCTTGAGGTTCAGCATCAGGTTGTTTGAGCTCACCCTGTTTTCCTAGTGTGATCATTCATGGCTATGAACTTCCCTCATAAGATGGCTTTCATTGTGTCACACAGATTCTAATATGTTGTACTAACATTGTCTTTTAATTGTAGAAACTGTCTGATTTCTTCTTTGATTTCCTCTGTGACCCATTGGTTATTCAGAAGTGCACTTACCACTGCACCAAATCTTAGATTCAGAGTAGTGGCCTTCTCTATCCTTGCTCAGTCATGTTGTCCAGCAGGGGTTCTGGCTGGGAGCTATGCACACTTGGAATGGTAATTAGGGGTGCCTCTGTCTGGGGCCTGCCCTCCTAGATAGCTATTGTCTGGGAGAGCCTTTGGCTGGGGGGCTGTACACCTAAGTTGCTGGTGTCTGAGCAGGCATCTGGCTGGGGTCCACACACACCAATGGAATCTTAGCAGGCCTCTGGGTGTAGCTCATGTGCCTGTACAGCTCTTTTCCAGGTAGGCCTTTGGCTGGGGCCTGTGGACCCAAGATGCTGGGGTTGGGGTGGGGTCCTTGCTAGGACCTGCCTGCATTCTCACTGCTCTGGTCCATACTGGCTTCTTGCTGGGATCTTACCAATGGAATCTGGCCTCTGGCTTGTCTTCATCTGCTTTTAACCCCTGACAGCCACTACTTTGTTCTACTACTGTGTGTACCTATGTAGTTGTCATTTCATGACTATTCTATAAATAAATGAAGTTCTTCAACATATAGTGCAATGAGATGGTATTTTTACTCCACGTAATTTCTGGAGATTTGTGGAGGGAGTTGTGTATTTCATTACACATAGTTCATTCCTCATTTGTTGCTGAGTAGGATTTCCTGTTGTAGATTTATCAATCTCTTTAATCACTCATTTAGTGAAGAATAGCTGAGTTGTTTTCAGTTTGGAGCTCTTAGGATTAAAGATACTATAAACATTTTCGTATGTACACAGATTTTTGTACATAATAAGTCTTCATTCTCTGAGACAAATACCCAGACATGCAAGTACTAGGTCACATGGGAAATACATTGTTAGTTTTATCAGAAACTTAATCTGTTTTCTAGATTACTGCATTGTTTTGTGCATTCCTACCAGTAGTGTTTCAGTTATCAAATTTCTTCACATTCATGCTAGAATTTGCTGTTGTAATAAATGATTTCATAAAATATTCATAAAATATTTACATGACATTACCTTAATGCAATGTGAATGCAAAACTAATTGATATTAGTAGTAAAACTACATCACATTTTTCTTCCCCTGAGAAATATTACAAATGAATGGTCATTTAAATAATTTAAGAATTATTAATTCAATCCCTAGCCCTAGAAAAATGTAGGGAGCCAGAAAGTACAGAAGCAAAATCTAACACAGGAGGATCAAGAAGATAAATAATACAATATGAAATTTCCTTTTATGATGTTTGTGGCATTTGTCAAAATTTTAAATTTCTTGGAATCTTATTCTCATTCTAAAAAGTTTGTTTTGTATTCTTTTTAAAAAGCCTATCTAATAAGTTTAAGACCACTAAATTCTAATTCTTCCCTTGTATATGATCACAAAGCTTTGCAATTGAACTCAGGAAGAGCAGGAGGAGATGTGACTAGTTCACCAACCTTCTCCTCACTCTGTTTGGTCCCTGGAGGGCACTGTATCATAAACTGAACTGGCTTTTGTGTAGATTAAAAAAAAACAAACCCCAAAACAGAAAACAAAACAAAAAAAAACCTTGCAAAAATTTCCCTCTCTATAACTGACAAATCTCTTTGAACATGGAGATGAGAACTTGTAATGAAGAAAAGAGAATGATTGTGTGAAGATGCACTAAGTCATTATTAGCACCTAAGAAACTGCTTTAAGCTGCACATGTCTTTTAATTAACAGCTCTGCCTTCTACAATGAGATCAATGAACTGGATCAGTGATATTTTTTACGTGACTTAAGTCCTCAAAATTTACAGGTATAACGCATGCATTTTAAATACATTGCTATCATGACATTTATCTGCATCAATGCCCATATCTTACAAAATATTTCTGAATCAGAGAATCATACAAAACTGAAAGGAAGAGAGAATTCTAAAGGATAGAAAGCCAATTTCTAATTTTCTGATTTAAAGTTTTAATTTGCTTAGACTTTTGCATACTAGAGAAAAATTTCAACTTTTCAGATGATTTCAAAAACATATAATGTTATCTTTTCTTTAATATCCTTTCTACTCTTTCTGGTAGCTACAAGAGAGAGAAGGAAGAAGAAAAGGGAGAATATAGAACCAGCAATGGGATGAGAAGGAAAAGTGGGAAGGAAAAGAGGAAGACAGGAATGATAAAGAAAAGAGGCTTATGAATTGCAAACATGAGATAAAGGTAGTTTTTACAAGATGAGAATCAGAAAAAGAAAGCAAAACATGTTGCCCAGTTTAGAAATGATATCTGAATTGATCTTATCTCCCCATAATTTACTGACTTATTAGGTTTATTTCTTTTATAGAACATATAATTATTTTAACTGATACATAAACATATAAAATTATACATATTCATGGCATACCATGTTCAGAAACATGTAAATATTATGTTATATCTAATTCAGATTGGATATCTATCCTTTCAAATATTTATCATTTCCTTTTTATGTTTCAATTTTTTTGTGTCAGTGTCTTACTGTGTGGCCCAGGTCGCATGCACCACTGTACCAAGCTGAACATTTATCATTTCTTTATGTTGAAAACTTTAAAATCCTTTCTTCTAGCTTTCAGAAATATTTAATACATTATTATTAACCATAGCATCTCAAAGTGCAATAACACACCAGAGCTTCTTTGTCTAAGTATAATGTGATACAAATTGATGAGTACACATTGATTAGCCTTTTCCCTACCCATGGGGTCTTTAGTTATATAATAATATTTGCCTCAATTTTGGTTCTTACAGAAGATTAAAATTCTACACATTTTACAAATTCTGATAAGACAATCTTAAGTATGTAGTTTGTTCTTATTACTTTGCACGACTGACATGACTTTTGCCTAAAATAATTCACATGCCAGTAAAGATCCTTTAGTCAGAATACACATCTCTTTTTAGAATTTATATATATTCTTTTATTTATATTTATCCATATATATATATATATATGGATATATATATATGGATATATATATATGGATATATATATATATATATATACATATATATTTATGGATATTCTTTCTGTTAGGCTCTGATTAGTACTTTGAGACAGTTCTTCTTTGGGGGAGCCCATCCTCTTTCTCTTCACACTCCTTACAACTCCAGAATTGCTAGAAAAATTTCCTTCTGTAGAATAACATCTCTCCTCTCTCTCCTCACCAGGCTCCACCCAGATTCTCAAAGTCTGAGGGAGGGCGGGGCTTCCTGCACAGAATCTGTGGACTCACAGGGTCTGGGCCTGGGCAGGTTCTGCAGTGGAGCTGATTGGCTGGAGGAGCAGGCGCAGCTCCAGAGCTAGGTCCTGACACCAGTGATCCGGAGCTGATTAAGTGAATCTAAATGAGACCACCAGGCCAAGAAGGGCCATGAAGAGGATCTTGAGCTCTCTGCTGGGGCTTTTGTGCATCCACATTTTCTGTGAGTAGAGCTATCTCAAAATCGGGAAATTTTAAAGTTTTTTTTTGCAGTTGCAGTAGAGATATGGGGAAAGGAGCTCAAAAATCTTGCTTGGGGACATTTTCAGTGACATCTCCTATGACTGTTTCTCTGTTCCTACTCAGGTGTGAGAGGGATGCAGGTGGAGCAGAGTCCTCCAGCCCTCGTCCTCCAGGAGGGAGCCAATTCCACTCTGTCGTGCAGCTTTTCTGACTCAGTGACCACTGTGCAGTGGTTTCGCCAAGATCCCGGGGGACGCCTCGTCAACCTGTTCTACATTCCTTCAGGGACAAAGCAGAATGGAAGATTGGAGGCCACGACAGTCCCTAAGGAACGCCACAGCTCATTGCACATCTCCTTTTCTCAGCCCACAGATTCAGCTACTTATTTCTGTGCTGCAACCCACACTGCTCCCCAGGCACCTGCAGCTGCTACACAAACCCTCAGCCAGGAGCACATGAAGGGCCCACTGCAGCGGCCTTTTCACAGCTTAGTGTTGCTTATCTACATTGGAGGAGCTGAGCCTAAGGATAATTCTGTACCACATAGATGTAAGACTTTGTGGTCTTTAACTCCACTTCCCCTGAAACATAATTTTCCAACTTCCAACTGGTAGAGTAGCTTATAAGAAGATTAAAGCAAATTACATATTTAAGCTCCAGAACGCTGGACTCCAAAACAACACAGAGAGTAAAAGGAGCTAGAGGAAAGAAAGCCATTCAGATAAAGATGTTATTGATGATTATGTAGCTAAGGTTGGTGTCTCAAGCATTTTCAGTTCAGCCTCACTGTGACCATATGACCCTCTAGGCAAAGGGCAGATATTGTGCTTGCTCTTCATCCTGCAGGGAGCAGAGAAGAGAGGACATTTGCTGAATGTTCATATATAAGAAATAGAATGTAAGGAAGAATGTTAACAAATATGTTCTGTTTGTCTCAGTCTCCTTCATGTTCTTAAAACTTGCCTTGTGGCCTAGGACCTGGTCTGTCCTGAAGAGGGGCTCTGATTCTTGAGAAGAAGGTGTATTCTTCAGGAGGATGTCTGTAATATCAATTTTCTTTCTGGTGTTGATCAAGTCTTCTGTTTCCTTGCTGTTATTCTTGCTGCCCTCTCTATTATTGGAGATGAGTTACTGCAGTGTCTACTAGTGATGGATTGACTGTTTCCCCTTGAAAGTCCATCAGTTTTAGTTTCATGTATTTTGGAGTCTGTTGTTTAGCACTTATATTTATAACTGTTATTTTAAAAGGACTTATTCTTTTTTTTGGTTTGGTAGTTCTGGGGATCCAATCCAGTGCCTCACATGTGCTAGGGAGACACTGTACCACTGAGCTATATCCCCAGCCCCAAGATCAATTCATTTTTATTATTATAAATAGTCCTTTTTTGTCATTAGAAAATTTTTGACTTAAATTGTATTTTGTGTAGTAATATCACAGCAACTCTAGCTCTCTTATGGAGTTGTTATTTATGTGAGTCGGTTGTATCCTACATTTTTTTTCTACCTTTGAACTTATTTGTATCTGCTTGCTATAGTTTAGATTTGGAGTGCTCTCCAAAGGCCCATGTGTTACAGTCTCGTTCCCCAGCTTGGTACTCTAGGGAGGCGAGGCCAGGTGTAAGATCTGCTGCCATTTGGCTGTGTCCTTGAAGGGGTCTGGGGAAGCTGGCCTTTTCCTCTTTTTGTGTTTGCTTCATGGCTGCCAAGAGACAAGCAGCTTCCTCCAGAATGTGCCCCCTGCATGACGTATGACCTCACGCAACAGGCTAACTGGTCATGAACTGAGCCCCATGAAACTGAGACAGAATACATTTATCCTCTTTTTAAGGTGATTACGTCAGGTATTTTGTTGCAGCAGTGGAAATCTCACTAACAGAAAACTGTGATGGAAAATGAATATGCTGCCACTCTCATAATGTCAAAAAATCACGAGCTTTTGTATTCTCTACATTCATACAATTTTGATTGCAGTTTATAGGCACAAGTACCTTTTTAGTAGCAATTTTTTAATACATTTGAATTATGCATATGAATTTTTTATACATATGAATTATTAAGTAAAATCTCCGTTGTCAAAAACCATTGTCCCTTTCGGAGTGTCTTTCCTTGTCACGCCCACAGTGTAGCACCATAGAATGGGTGCTAACAGTGCTGAGAGGCTGGATGTATCAGGCAGTCTTGACTGATAGATCTGGTTAATTCAGCATCATTTCTAAGAAACACCTTTTTCCCCCCACTGAATTATTTTGCTCTGTTGAGAATTAATTGAACATGTACATGGGACTCTCTTCCTGCAGTCCTTCTTTTTCTACACTGATAGACTAGATGTCCTATTTCACCAATATCAAATCATTTTTGTGACCGTTCTTTACAATCAGTTACCATAGGCTGAGTTACCCAAAACTATTTCTTTCTTTTAAAAAATGTTTTGTTTTTTCAAGCATTTTGTATTCCCATATAAATTATATAATCTGCTCATCAATTACTCCAAAACAGTCTGCTAGAATTTTGAGAAATACTGTATTGAAGTTAAAAGAATTTGGGGAACTTAAAGATACTGCGTTTTGTAATTCATGAGCATGACATATATTTCCATTTATTCCTGGGCAGAGATCTTTGACATTTAAGAAAACCAGAGGATAAGCTAGTAAATAAGAAAAAGTGACAAAAACTGATGAATTGTTCAACTGACAATTGTTCCATTGAAAAATTGACAAACCTATTCAAAAGATTTTCACATAAAATATATAAAGACCTCTAGCAACTTTAAAAAAGAGAACAAGAGCAATTTACAAGTGGATAAAATGGTTGAGAAGACTTCATAAAGGAATATACATATATTATATGATGATATATTTTATAATGATGTCATATATCTATATCTATATCTATATCTATATCATCTATCTTTCTATCTATTCATGATAAGTAAGCACAAGAAAAGTTAATTTCCATTAGGGTTAACAGAATATATCCTAGGAGTCAATTCTAGGTATTTAGCTATTTTTATAAAGTTGTTTGGCCCATTGTCAATTATATCATTAGGATCTTATGTACTATTACAGTTTAATTCACACCAGAGAAACTATTCGGTATTTACACATGTGTGACTTATTTATTTCACTTAGAAGTATATGTGAGGGGAAAGTGGGAAGGGTAGGGGAAAGCTAATAAAGGCAAAGAAAAAATATGAGAAAATGAAAAAATGGAAATGAAGTGTTTGTAAAGGGGGAGAAGAAGAGAGGGTGAAGGGAGGGCAGGGACAAAGGAAAAAAATGAGAATCAAGACCTGTCATGTAAAGGTACAAGATCTCAATAATGAATGTAGCTGTACTGTATACCTAAAATGTACCAATAAACTCATGAGGAAAAAAAATAAAGTTGTTTGGCCCAAAACAATGTCATTTATTTATGATCAGTAGTTTAATTCATGGTGCAGTGACAGAACTGAGAAGCAGCAAATAAGCCTGAATTATCCCCAAAAGCTGCAAAGATTTAATATTTGACCTGCAGTGGGCAAAGTTTATTGATCCTTGCTCTGCATCACAATAATCAGGGGAAATGCAACCTAAAAATAGAGATGACTATCACATGTTGATGAAGCCATAGAGGTGTTAAGTTAGAGTCTGTTTGTGGACTTGCTCTCTTCAGCCCAAAGGCCTCACCCCAATCAGACCTGGCTATGGGAGGGAGGAAAACGTGCAGTAACTCATCCTGAAGGTCAGTGCCTGCCTTTGAATAAACCCAGTGCAGATATCCTGAATGTTTCACATTTCAGAAGTCCTCTTTTTTCAGTATGTCCAGCATGCTAATCAATTCCTCCACATACATGTGAAGCATCTTTAAGTAGATCAGCAGGTGTTTCAGAGCTGACCCCAACAAAGGCAAAACTTCTTCCATCTGAACAGCCATCGGCATAAAAGACAGACTCAACTATTTATTTCTGTGGGATGCATTAAAGGAGATTGGAGGAGGGTGTAAGGTATAAATGGACAAAGTATGTTATGTGCATTTCCCAATTCCACAAATAAACATCACTCTTCTGTACTGCACACAGGCTTAAAAGAAAAGCCTTAGGAAATTATCCAATGCAATCCTCCTTCATGGCTACAAAGAAGCAATGCTGACTCTTACACATACACATCAACCGATCAGAGAGTATCCTTTTAAAATCTAATACATTGTCCCCTCCTGCCCTGCTTCAACTTCTTTAGGGATCAAACATGCATCTATGTATATGTATCTGTCTTCCTTGGTCAGTTGTCTAGATATGCAGGTCTCCGCTAGGTTTCCCCTTGCTGTCCATGAGTACTGGAACTAGGTTGGAGATTTGTGCTGTGTTTGTCATGAATGAAGCCCAAGTACCGCCCACTGTCTGGGCAATAATGGGCATTCAGTGCATAGTCAGGAGTCTCTTCTTAGCTTTGGTTTCACTTCTGGGGATTCAGGTTTCTGTAACCAGTCATGGTCTAAAAATAATAAATGGAAAATTCAGAAAGTAATTCACAAATTTTAAATTGCATACTGTTCTGAATAGCAGGATGAAATACCCTGCCATCTCACCGCTCTCCACCTGGGATACGCACTGTCACTGTGTCCAGTGTTTCCTTCCTGTGGGCGCCCTCTGTTCATTTGTTACTTAGCACTCATGCTGCTGTCGGGATGCTTGTCCAGGTATCAGAGCATTTGTGTTCAAACAATCCTTATTTTACTTAGTAAAGGGCCTAAAGTGCAACACTAGTGTAATTGGCAATGTGGATATGCCAAAAAGAAGTCAGAAAGTGCTATCTTTGAGTTAAAAAAGTGAAATTTTATCATAGTGTGTATGCATAGGAAAAAGCATAGTAGGAAGGATTTGTTAGCATTGGTGGCTTCAGACATTCGCTGGGTGTCTTGGAACTCATCCAGTACAGATCAGGGTGTGACACGCTACATTAAAGGCATGACCGAATGAATGAGTGCATGGAAAAGAGAACACATCAAAACATTAACAAGCATTGAAATTATTTGCTTTGATACTGAATGGGATTGGACAGCTTAAGGAATGTGAGCCATTATTTTACAGAGGATGTGATGGTATTTGTCTTTGAATGGACTTGAGACAATATCTAATATATATACCACAAAATCTTCTCTATGCTTCAGAAAAAAATCCTCTTTGTGTTCTTTTATCTTTTATAGTTTATTAATGCAGACCATTCCTACTTTTTAGGTTGCTTTGAGTTTACCAATTTCTGCCTCTATGCCCTACTGGCTTGACTATCTAAAACATTTGCTCTGTTGGGTACACATTTCTCTTTTATTTTATGGAATAAAAAAAATTTCACAGCAAAATATTGAGAGAATAACAACAGTTTACACACCATGTAGTATTATCTTCAAAGTGGTTACTCAGAGTACAAGACATCCACAGAAAGATTCTCTTCTACAAAAAAGAGAGATTAGAACAAAAGTTCCTTTGCAATGAAATAAGAGAAACTAGTATAAACGAGACAAAATAGCGTTTTTCTTAAAACTCCTTCCCCCGTCTCCCACAGGCCACTTCTGAATTGCTTCTTCAGGCTCTGGGCTCCCCTCCAGGGTTTTTATTTCCTCCCCTATTCATCCTTGGAGTGTCTGGGTTCCTTAAGGATTTTCTCTAGCACCGCTTCTCTTCTGAGTTTTCTTTGAGCATATATCTTTTTGAGGCTGCACCTACTTTTTTAGAGTAGCATGCTACCAAGACAACTTTAGGAGCGAAACTGGCCTTGGAGTGGAAAAGTGTTAGGACCTAACCCTTGTGTATCCTGGAGCACATTATTTAACTTCATAAGTAATACTCTAAAAGGCTACAGTGAGAAACGTGCAGTGCTTACCTCTGATTAACACTGTGGAGTCTGGACTTCTATTAATGAGAGCTGATTTTGCCACTTGCTGTGATCTTGGAGAAATTGCATTTTTGTTCCACTTTGTTCCCTAATTTTTAAAATGAGGATAACAATATTATTTACCTCATATGATTAAATAACTCCATTTATTTAATTAGACTAATATAGCCTTTTAATAAGCAGACTCTTGAAAGCATTTTCACCAGATTGTACTACATACTAAGAAAATGGAGTAATAAAACATTAATTAAGGGAGAAGAAAAAAATATGAGAAACTGAAAAAATGGAAATAAAGTGTTTGTAAATGGGGAGGGGAGGAGGGGGTGAAGGGAGGCCAGGGACAAGGGGAAAAATGAGAATCAAGACCTATTATGTAAAGGTACAGAATCCCAATGATGAATGTAACTGTACTGTATACCTAGATTGTACCAATAAACTCAATTAAAAAAAACCAAACATTAATACTCAATTTGTTTCTCTACTTGACCGCCAGGGGGCAATGTTACCAAGACTAGAACTCAGGCAAACAAAAAATTCAGCGTCAGTCACTCTGAGGAGCTTTTTTAACCTAACAGCACAACGAGTGAATATTCTGAGTAGGATTAGTAACAAAGCAGTTGTTAAGGAAGCAACTCTCAGTGTTAGTCTCTAGGCCTCGCCTAAAGAGGAAACTCTTGAACCTCCGATTTTTCTCTTTCAAGAACTCTTAACACAGTCTTTCTGCACCAGGAGATCCTCCAGAACAGCACCGTCAGCCTCCACACAGCCTAGCCATGCTCTCGGTGACCCTCCTCCTGTTTGGGATGCCCTTCACCCTGAGTAAGAAATGCTGAGTCTCTGCTCCTGCCTCCATGGGAGGAACACCTTCCCAATCAGAATCTGAAGAGAGCTCCATCGTCTCACTACAGGTAAGTCAGTCCTGACCTCACTGATAAAATGTCGATGTTACAGGAGGAAGCGGAGCCCAGTCAGTGGCTCAGCCTGACCGCCACGTTGCTGTCTGGGAAGGGGACCCTCTGCTGCTGAGGTGCGACTATACCTATAGTGGAACACCTTATCTCTTCTGGTACGTCCAGTATCCCGGTCAAGGCCTCCAGTTTCTCCTCAGATACATGTCGGGTGACCCTGTGGTTACAGGCATCAGAGACTTCAAGGCTGAATTTAAGAAGAGTGAAACCTCCTTCCACCTGGAGAAAGCCTCAGCCCACTGGAGTGACACAGCCACGTACTACTGTGCTGTGAGTGGCACAGTGGCTGGGGCTGCAAGGGGAGCTGAACACAAACCTCCTGAGATTTCCTGTGACTGCAGGAAGCAGTTTGTAGCTAAATTTCTCTTGTGAAAAGCGAGCACGAATGAGGAGCAGAGATATGGGATCTGTTGGATTCCTGAAAAGCAATAGGAACATCTACAATTCTTTCTTTCACTACTGGGCCATGTCAGACAAGACGTAGGACAGACTCTCGTGGATGTTCTCCTTTTGGTTAGAAATCCTGAATTCTACAGGGTTAGGGTTCTGATTTAGTGTAACCAGTGCTGAAATTTTGATCTTTCTGTTCGCACCTTTAAAATGCTCCTTTTGCTTTTCACCTCCCAGCAATTCCTTTTGTTCAGTATTTCTGGCTGACACCTCAGAGTTATTTTTGGATTTTATTATTATTTTTCTCTAACTCCTCGCATTGCATCCATTAAGCAATTGAGTTTTCTTACTTAATTTAACCCATAAAGTAGCTACTGCTACATCCTTGGTCAAACAGTGATAGCCTTGTACTTGATCTTCCTGTTTCTTCTCTGACACTGCATTCCTAATACAGCAGGCATGAGGTACCAGTGATCTCCTTTAAATCAGAGATCATGTCACCCTCTGGTAAAATCCTCCCGATAGCTTTCTTTTTCTTCCAGAGTAAAGTCAAGTCCTTGAAATGTCCTAGAAGACAGGGTCTGCCTCCTCTTACATTTTTAAAAGACTGAGGAAAAAAAAATTCTGTCAACCATGAGTTCCACAGCTTGTGAAAATGTCTTATTGAAATGATAGAAAAATAAAGAAATTTTCAAACAAAGGGAAATGGAGAGACCTCATCAGGGAAAGACTTGTTCTAAAAGAAATAGAGAAGGAAACTCTTCAGGATGAAGGGAAATGCTACTAGAGGAAAATTTGGAACTCTAAGAATGAAAAGCAACAGAGACAATAAACATATGCTAACACACAGGAAACAATTTCACTTTTGTTTTTAAAAAGCTTTATTGAGCTAGAAATACTATACAGAAACTACACGTATTTGATGTGTACAATTTGATGACTTTGGACATTTCTATACCCCTGAGACCAGGATCACAGTCGAATAATTAGGCACATCCAGCCCTCTGTGGTGCATTTTTTGGTTGTTGCTGCTTCTGCTGTTGGAGCACCAGTCAACACCAGATCTATTCTCTTACATTTTTAAATGTGCAATACTGTGTCCTTTCTTGTAAGCAGTGTGTTGTACAGAACTCTAGAAGTTATTCTTGCCAGAAGTGAGCTTTATATCTATTGGACAGTGATTCTCTACTTGTTCCTTTCCATTCCTGTCCCTGGAAACTAAAATTGTTTTCTCTGCTTGTGTGTTTTTGAATAATTTTAGATATTTATATACCTGGAACCATTTAGTATTTGTCTTTATGTTACCAGCTTATTTCATGTAGAACAATGTCCTCCAGGTTCTTGTATGTTGTCTTGAATCACAGGATGTCCTGCTTTCTCAAGGCTGAATAATATCCAGTTATATCAGTGTATTCTTTACTCATTAATCTGTCAGAATTCTTTTAGATAATTTCTATGTTTTGGTTATTTAGAGTAATGTATGCATGACAATGAAACGACACACCATCCACAAAGATCATCTCAAAATTGCTTGAAGCTGTAAAACACAAAACCTGAAACTATAAAACTACTAGAAAAATGTGGAGGAAAATCTTCGTGAAATTTATCATGGAAATAACTATTTTTTGGTATGACAAAAAAGTACAAGTAATAAGAGCAAAACAAATTCAAGTGTAATTGTATCATACAAAAAGAGTCTGCATAGTAACATGGAATGTGGAAAAATATTTGCAAACTGCAAATCTTACAGGATATCAGAGTCCAAAAGACACAAGAAATTCCTATTATACAATAGCAGAAAAAATAATCTGACTAAAAAAATGGCCAAATAACCTGGATAGACATTTATTTCCCCAAAGAAGGTCCATTCAATAGCCAACAAGTGTGTGAAAAGGTGTTCAATATCATTAATCACCAGGGAAATGAAAATCAAAATTACAGTAGGATAAGGGCCAGGGATTTAGTGCAGTGGCACTGCATCTGCCCAAAAGTGCAAGGTCCTGAGTTTGAACCCCGGGACAGGAAAAAAACAAAAGGAAAAAATTACAATAGGATATCACCTTACATGTTATGATGGTTATTATACAGTGGACCCTTGAGTTACCACACACTTGACATACTAACAGCTTGGGTTACAACCAGAATTTTAGTTTTAACTTACAACCAAAGTCTTAAATTGTGACTCAAATGATGGCTGCTTGTGCTCCCAAGACACAGACTTAACCCTTAAAGAATTCTGGAAGGAACATTATGACTCCTTTCCTGCTTGGGGTTAATGAAAAATCCTGGGCCAATGTCTCTCTAAGGACACTGAGATCTTCCTGGAGGAAAAGTGTGGCCTAAAATTGTATAGGAGAGAGACTTTGAAGGCTGTGTAGAGAAGTTTGACAAACTTGAGTCACAACTAGCCCTCAGGAACAAATTGAGTTTGTAAGTCAAAGGTCCAGTGTACTATATGTTCATTAAAAGCTTATAAAATAAAGGCATTTATTACCATAATGTATTTAATTCTCTGACACATGTCTATAAGATAGGCTTTTTATAGTTTGAGTAGGAAAAAAACCACACCATCAACATTATTTCTGTATACATTATACATAATGACGAACTATCACGAACTAATCCATGAGGTGATATTGATAGTTTTAATACGACAGAACAAAAAGTCTTTGGAAAAGAAAAAAAAATTGTACATTTCATAATTTCAGTGTCAATATCTGCAAAGGGAAAATGACATACTGGTTTTGTATAATAATGCTGTTAAATTACTTTCACTTAAAGTAAGGTTGTTTTCTTGATATATGATTCTGTTATTTTGAAGGACTATTTTGAATAGTTTCTAAAAATCCATGCCACAAACATAATTTGAAGAGAAAATAAAAGATAGAGCAAATGAATATATTTTAATATAGTACTGAGAAAAACAGATGGTACAAATAAAAAATCAGGAATAAAGTGATGATCCTAAATCTATTTATATCAATAAGTATGGTAAATGTAAGTGGTTGAAACACAGAGATTTATTATTATTATTTTTTGGGGGGGTTGAGACAGTGTCTTGCTTTGTATTTCAGGCTGGCCTTAAACTCACTTTGTATCCTAGGCTGGCCTCCAACTCTTGGCCACCCCCCTGTCTCAGCCTCCTGAATGCTGGGATTACAGGCCTGCACCATCATGCCTGGTTTAAACACATAAATTTAAAAACAGAGAATGTCAGTATTGGTTAAAAAACCACAGCTATATACTGTCTACATGAAAGCCTTTATCAATATAATGATATATGTTAAAAATACGTAACTAGAAAAAGATACTCATAGAAAGACTAAGCAAAGAAATCCAGAAGGTCCATATTAATTAATGTGTTACAAATTAGACTTCAGAAACGATGTTACAGAAGTAAAGATAAATATACATAATTATAGGGCCATGTGTGGCTAACCATGGATCATCAAGATGTTTAAAACTGTTAAGACTAAAAGGAAAATAGACAAATCACAATTCCATTTGGAAATTTGACCTTTTGTCCTTAGTATAAAGTAAGTGATCAGAAAATCAGCAAAGACACAGCAGGACCAGCTTAACACTATCAACTCACGTGGCCTTGAAGAGCACTCCACTTAACGACTGCAGAAAGAATACAAAACAACGTGTAGGGGAGAATTGATGAGAGTAAATGTTTATACTAGCAAAGCTGAATTGTCAAATCAACAATCCCACCTCTGTTTGGAAGTGTGCCCCATGGTGATGTTCTAAGTAGGAAAGAAAAGCCCAGCAATCGAAGAAAGTCCAGTCTACGTTGAGTTCAGAGAAAAGAGAAGCTTTTGCTGTTACCGCACCAGGCAGCCAGCTAAAAAATTCTGTGCTTGTGGCACCTTCCACTGTTCTGTCATGTTCAGAGATTAGACTGAGATCAGTTCTGCTCTCATCAAGAGCCACAATTGTAGATCAGGTCATGAGCTGATAGTTCAGAGAGGGTGCAGGAGAACTTGGCTCTTTAATCTTTGTTTTCTTCAGTACCACTTATGGAGCTTACCTGGCAAGAAATGAATGTTTCTATTCACAGGATGAACTACACGTTGTCACACAAGGTGACACCTCACTAATTTGCTCACTGGATCTCACTGCACAGCAGCCTTTGAGAGAACAAGCACAGGACTCTCAAGTCACAAACTGGGTCAAGCTTGAGAACAAACGGTGAGCCTGAGATTGAACCATGACTCAGGCCCAGCCGTGAGCCAGCTGGGACTCGTGTGTGACAATCCTCTGAGTGCAGCATTTGGTGCATGTGAGGAGTGTAGGGCCTTCTCTGTGACAGTGTGCCAGGCTTTCTCCTTACCCTGTGTTGAGTCCATCCCAGTATAACAATACAACACCATGCTGCCATCTTATTTAATAGTCAGAAGTATTAGATAAAAACATCAGCTTTCCTATTCATCTGACAGAGTGTTAACAGTCAATATGTTCTTCTGCGAGTGGCTATGTAGGGTGAGTATTGGAGCCTTCTAAATGATCTGCCCAATCTTTCTGTAAAGCTAAATCTACAAAAGGAGCTTATTAACTTTAAAAGATCAATTCCAATACAGAAATTAAGAAAAGAAACATCAATTTTATGAATTGTAATTTATACAAAATGTTTACTTCAACCAGCTCAGATTATTTCTTACTTTCCTAACTTTCCAATTTCTTTGTTTGAGCACTTCTCTGGTTACATATGCGCTATGCAGTATGTGTTATGCAAGATTTTTAAAACATATGCAATATAATTTAATTACAATAAGTGCATTAGAAATAAGTTCTGGCATGCAAGCAATGTATGTCATCTAAGAGAATAGGTTTATATCTTGGACAAATATGCATCTGCTATGTTTAGATGTAAAATGCCTCCAAAATTACCTGTGTTTCGAAGCGGATTGGATTATGGAGGACATACAGCTGTCTTGCTCTTAGGAGACAGGGTCTGGTCCAAAGAGGCAGGTCCCTGTGGTCATGACCTCCAAGCCTTAACCCCCTTACCTGCGGCTCCCTTGACTTTCAGCTTCCTGGCTGACATGAGGTGAGCATTTTTCTTTTGTCGGACCCTTCCACCATGCTGCCTCTTGTAGCTGGCCGCCCATGCAAGGACTGAAACTTCTAAAATGCAAGCCAAAACAAACCTCTCCTCTTGTAAGTTGTGAGTGTTTGATCTTTTGTGAAAGCAGTGAAGAAAGTGATCAAAAGGGTGTCCAACTTTCAACCCTGTCATCGAGTGAATGAAAAGTTACCATTTTCAACCTCAGTTGTCTCGTCTATATATTGGGGACAATTATTATTTCCTTAGAAATTGTTAATATAAGTGATAAAATGAAACATCTTTCGAAGGCCTGATACTTTAGCATAGCATAATCATCTAATAAATTATTATAAGAAATAGAGAGCCACCAAAGACATAATTTAAAAAATTTTCATACATACAGCATATCAAGAAAAGAAAGCTGAACTTTGACTTTATGGCTATAAAGTTCAAAACGAGTGTTTT